CTACCTGTGAAGAGGTGGTCCCCGGGTATGTAATGTGTCAAACACTGAGCAAAAAGGCCCTGCTGCAGCAGAATATCAGCCTCCTAACGCACCCAGAAACAGAGAAATGCCAGAACTGGAGTCGTGTCTAAATGCACCCTGAAGGCATTTTCCATGGGACAGCTCTGCTCCAAGCAGCCACCATCTCCCAGGTAGTCACACACTCAGCTCCCCGTGTGTTCCTGTGCTCAGCCTCTGCTGAGAAGTGCAGTCCCTCCAGCTGCTGGGTTCCCTGCAATGCCTGGTGGCAGTGACATCTGAAGGAATGCAAGGATGTCCTCCCCACACACACCACCTTCTGCTCTATCTCCAAGGACATGTGGCTTATTGCCTTCCTGCAGCCCTCAGTAGAATCCTGCGCAGAGCACATAAATGAGGGTGGATGCGTCCAGCAGGCTGACAGGGCCCTCAGCTTTCCTCTGCTAACAGGGCACAACCTAAATCCCTGTGCAGAGCCTTCCCTTTCTGCATGGTTCTGTACTGTTCCCTGTGGTTTATCCTCACAGCCTCAAGGAAACACCTCTGACCAATGGCTCTTGGGTCACCAAGGAGGAGAAGTGAGTGCTTGTGGGACCATCCGGCCCCTTCCCTAGGACGAGACCCCAGGTTCTAGACTGGACAGGAGGTTGGCAGTGACTGGCACTGCCATGAATCCTGCCTCAAGGATCAGTGGTGCACCAGAAGGAAGGCAATCAGGTTCTGCAGGTCAGCACCCATCTTTTAGCTGTCCTTGCCCCAACTCTCCGCTTTCATCCATCAAACGCTTCTGTGGGAAAGGAACCCTCAAGGCTGGAGTCATCTTCACATGTGGAATTGTGTTCATTCCACTGCTACCAAGACACATTAGACTATGGGGAACATGAAAGCATAATCACATGTGACTGGATCTCCAGACTTGTGCTCCACATCAAGGATTTGCAAGCAAGTTCCTACTCCTCAGCAACTTTGGTTTGGCCATTTGTTGAATGAATATTTTAAGTGCGACCTTTGAGCCGTGCGTCACACTGCCCTGTAAGTTAGCAAGGTCTCTGAGAGCAGCTGGGAAACGTTGTCTTTGTCACCTTGCTGGGGAAACACAGAGAGCTACAAATGAGCCACAGCTCCACCAGGAGCAGTGACTGCCTGTGCCCAAGGGCAGGCCCTTCCCGAGACCAGCAATACAAGATCCCATACTGACCTCTGCAAATCAATATCCTGCAGCCTACGAGTCCCTAAATATGTCACCAAGTAGGAGATGCTGCTTACCTGATCACACACTTACATTAGCTGCAACCCCTGTCCTTCAGACACTGACCCCCAGTCCATCAATGCCTGCAGCAGCACAGACCGTGACTCCAGGGAGCCAGGTCCCTCAGAAGAGAGCAATTACAACTTCTCAGCCTTACTACACTTACTGCACGCTCTGGCTTACTTTGTCTTTTGAGACTTTGCAGTAAAGAAAGGTAGAAATTCATTTGCTGAATGATAAAGCAAGAAGCAGAGAGGAAACAGCTGACTGGAAACAAAAGGTTTGCAAGCGAAATAAAGCGAATGCTGTGTACAAGTGTGGACACTGAGCAAGGTGCAGTTTGAGGGTTCCTGCAGTGCCACCGTCGCAGGTGAGCCGGAGTGGAAGAGCGAGGGTCTGAGCTGTGCTAACTCCAATGCTGCTGGGACTTCCAAGGGCTTTCCCTGTTTCTGCATCCCGGGTCTGATCTTCCTCAGCTTCTGTCTGGCACAAATGCAGTTTCCATGGCTTCCACTTGAGGCTCAGAGCTCCACTGTTCAGCGCTCTCCCTGCGTGTTTCTCTCTCCCCGCACACTTTCCCTACGGGGAGCCACTCTATTCCGTTTTATCAGGCTCCATCCCCCACTTTGCAGGTATCTGGTGTGTTCCCTGCACATCCCTGAAGGTACACTGTCCAGCACACCAGGAACACAAGAAATATTAATTGCACGTGCATTTTGTAAAGCTCCCAGTCCCACTGCACTGCTGACAGCCCTCAGAGCCTTGCCGGAACATTACCAGGCATTGAAATGGGATTTCAGCCCTGCTGTCTCCCATCTTTCAGGAGCTCACTGCATTATCAGCCTATGTTTTCAGCCTCACCAGTTGGCCTTTGGTCTCCCAGTACTGGGCCATGAGCACTGAATTCAGATTCACTGGGGAAGGGCAGTGCTCTTCAGTTACAGATAACACTTCACCCCTTGGGCACATCACTGCCTGACCTGGACTTCCTTCAGCCTGTCTCTGCTTCCTAGCCCTCCTCCTGGCTGCTCTCAGCGTTAGGACTTCAGAGCTCCATCCTCCACCCCTCTGTTTCTTGCTGCAGGCAGGTGAGCACAGGACAGCCAGCATCCCTGCATGTCTGGGGTCAGCAGGCAGAACCTTGGACAATTTGACTCAAATTGACAATGCTGAGGGTGGTTAAATGATCTCTCTGGTCAACACAGACACTTTGACGTGGCTTCAAACTGCTCAGCATGGGTAAGGCATCGTGGGAGAAAGTCCGCCCTGGAAATGTCCTTGAGGATGCATACCAAATGGGCTCCTCAGAGGGGGCAGTTGGTCATGTGCTGCTGAGCAGAAGAGGAACCATCCAGGCCAGCCCCTCTTCCTGCACTGCAAGCGGCTGCTGCACAGCGGGTTGTGAAGGCGGTCCTCCAGGTATCACAGCATATTGGCTAAGCAAAGGCCCAGGGCCCTCTACATGCCTTAATCTTACCCTGCAGATCGTTAAAATTAATTTTGTTGTAGCTATAAAGGGAAAAGTTCAGCCCGAGACAGGCACGCAGCATGGCAAAACACAACTGCACCAGTTAACATTTAAAAACTTACCTGCAAAGGGAAGCAGGTCTTTCTAATGGAAACTGCCACGCAACCTTGGCTTTATGCCTCTGCCTGCCTCTGTTATGATCTGAGCACAGAATCTGGCAAAACAGGACTGACTCTGGCTACAGGCTCTGGGCATTCCAGCTGCACAGCCACTGGGCACATTAAAAGCAAGGGTGATGCTGCAAAACGTTTCACTGAGTTTGGGAAGTCCATAGAATGGGACAGCTGGGTGTTAGCAGCAGCTGGGCTCATCTCAGGCACAGGCTCTGCTGCTGGTATCCATGAAGTGGCCCAATGTGAAGCAGCCCCGCAGGCAGCAGGCTCAGGGCAGGCTGTGAGGGTCCCGTCCCAGCAGGCAGTTGGAGTGCAAGGAGCACCCAGTGGCTCCAGCTGGCCTCTGAGGCGCAGCCTCACCGCATTTCACCCCAGCGCCACGTTGCCCCGTCTGTTTCCATCTTCAGCTTCATGCCTGCAGCAGCTGCTGAACTGCCTTCCTTGTGAGCACGCTTGGGAACTGCGCCTGGCAGGGCTGCAGCTGGGATAGCAAGAACCCAGGATCCTCACTACAGGAGACACTTCCCAAGTGTGTAGCCTTGCTACTGATGAATCCTCAGGACAGCAGAAGGCTCCTTACAAGGACCTGGCCCAAGGCAGCATTTCTGAAATAAGGGGAGACTGTAACTTGGAGGTGAGGAAAATGCAGAGTCATCCGTTTTGGGGCTCAGAGTCAGAGCTGGCACTCCAGAACATCACACATACCTTTCTGATAAGCCTTGCACAGGGGCAGCAGTGATGGGGACCAGTCCTGTGTGCCGCCCTCTATGATCCAGCAGGGTGCCAAGAAGCAGCTCTTAAGCTGCCTCTCTCTGGTCTGACAGCTCCCTTTCCTCGGTGGACGAGGGAAGACAGAAAGCCCTCCCAGCAGCACCTGGAAGATGACTTTCTCTCAGCTGGAGTCAGGGCTGTTGGGTTTTCTGGGGTCTTATCATCTAAGGCACCAACCATTTCAGTACCCAGAGTGACAGCAGTCGATCCAAGCACATCTGCACCACCTCTCCTTGCCCATTTGCCCCAGGCCCCACGGGTGAGGCAGAAAATACAGCAATGCACAGGTGAAGCACCCTCGTCCTCAGCAGGCAGCAGGTCTACCCAGCAAAGATCACACCGTGGTCCAGGCCAATGAGCAGAGCACAATCCCACTTCAGGACTTCAACGTTTCCTGGCACCCCTCTTGAGTCCTGCACCCAGTGCTGGACACACACCGTGGGCAGACAGATGGCACTGAAACCTGACTTGTCTGCCTCCGGTCTCCTGATTTCAGTTCTTTACTCCTTGAAAAAGTAGAAGCCTTCATACATCTCTGAGGCCTGTTCTGTTTAGGAGAGCTAACATCTCCTCCAGAGCAGGGTTCTGGCTTTTCTTCTCTGGAAGAGTGATGTTAGTCAAGTGCTGCAGATAAAGCCCTGCATCCTATGGCACACAGTTGGCTTCTATTGGCACTGTGGTGGCATTGCCTCACTGCTGCTCCGCCATCAGGTGCAGCTGACAGTTCCTGCTTGCTTTTGGCTCATTTTTGTACAGCAGACCGAGACTGGGTCTTCTGGGCAACATTCCCAAAGCAGTGCCTGCACCTGAACTGCAAAGTTACCTTTATTTTCTACCTGCATAATCTCTCCTAGGACCATTGTAACACAATGGAAAAGCACAGCAGTGACAGCAGAGCAACAAGATCCCAGGTTGCAGCAAGCAGGAATATGCCCAAATGCAACAGCAGTGAGCACAGAAACAAAGGCAAGAAGCTGCTTGCCTTCAGAAGACCTTAAGGATGCAGGAATCTCAAGAGAGATACCTTCACCTCCACTGCCAATCCTAGATGAGGTCTGGACAGGGTGGATCGTGGCTCACCCCTTCCATCACTCAGGTTCATTGCATGCACCTGAGCTCCCCTGGGCTGGCCCTGCCTTCCCACCAGGTGCTCAATCACTGCTTCAAGCTGTGACAGCATTTCTGCTACAACCATCAATGTGGCTCCTCCATCTAGGCCAGCTGCTCAGCTGCAGCATAATTGTTCCCAATGAGATCAGAGGCATTGCTCAGGAAATATAGCTTCTGATACAGAATGCAGACAGAATGGGGAGAAGGGAGAGAGCAAGAAAGAGCAAGGCAAGCATGAGATCTGCAGGGAGAAACCATCACCAAGTCAACATCTTCATAAGAAGAGAACTGCTCAAGGCACAGTAGAGTCCTCAACAGGTGAGATAGGGTCCATTTTGTATAATGGCATAGCTGGCACACTGTTGGTCCCTGGCTGCAGGGGATTGTACAGGGAAGGGGGAGGTTGGAGGTTCTTGGAAATTACCAAGGAGCCTTTGCAAAGGGCTCTCTCCATCTCTCTCCATTCAGTCAAGCATCAGAGAGTCATAGAGTGCTTAGGGTTGGATGAACCTCTGCAGCCTGCCTGGTCCAGCTCCCTCCCACATGGCCCAGGGCCATGTTCACATGGCTGTTGAATATATCCAAGAAGGAGACTCCATAATCTCTGCAAGAAACCTGTGCTAATGCTCAATCATCTACATGGTAAGGAAGTGTTTCCTGATGCTCAGAGTCCCCTGAATTCTGGCTGGTGCTCACTGTCTCTTGTCCTGGCCCTGTGAACGTTGAAAGGTGCTTGGTTCCATCTTCTTGTCCCTCCCTTCAGGTGTTTGTGGACACTGATGAGACCCTCTGAGCCTTCTCCCCTCCAGGCAGACTGATGCTAGCTTTCAGCCATGATCTCAGCATGCCCCATCTCTGGCAGGTTGGGCCTTATCATGGCCCCTAGAGCCGGGCTTAGCTGCCTCTAGGGGAGAGCTTGGTATTTTTCCTTACAGGTCTGCAGCCCCAGCAGGTGCAGCATCTTCTGCAGATTAATTAAGCACAATGGCTGTTCCTTCGTGTGGGTGCCAGCAGCGCCAGGTGCAGGGCAGCCCTCCAGGTAAGCTGCTGCTTATCACTGCATCTTCACTACAGGTAACTGTCCCCAAATGGGGTTTTCTGACAAGTTACACACTCCTCTAATATTCTTCACTCTATACTGCATTTTCTTAATTCCATTCTGAGATCTTTATGTGCTCTCTTTATGTGAGAGAGCATGTAATTTAGATACTTGCTTTTCTGTCCCCTTCCCGCTGGCCCTTTAGCCTGCTGAGGAAGCAGCCTTGGTCTGACCAGCTGCATACTGGTGAGCTATGAGATACTTTTGGTACTATGGGAGCAGAGGTGTGTGAGCACTTGTCTCCGTGCTCCTGATAGCGAGACACAAGAAGCACTGAGCACCAGCAGAGCTGTGGCAGGGCCGAAGCTGACGCGGTAAGGTCTGCAGAGAGCTCTGCCTGTGTCTGCATTGCAGTGTGGGGCTGCAGGTCAGGGCAGTGCTGAGGGTTCTGCTGCCATGGGGTAAAGGACCTTGGGATGTCTGAACACCATGGAGAACCTCCTCGGGTGAGTCCCCATAGAAACTCATGGCAGCAGCCTCGTGTGTATCACTCCTCATCCTGAGATCCTCTGAGATCCACAGGCACTGCCCTGTCCTGCAGGGTGACAAAGTCTGTGAGTGGAACTGAGCAAGAGAAAATATTGAACCAGGAGTATAAGCTACCGTCACCTTTTATTTCAGAACGTCTTTTTCAGAATCCAGAATATGCAGCAATTCCAGAGCAAGGAATTCAGCAGAGCCAGTGCCAACCAGCATTCATACAGCACTGGGAGCTAGGGGGAAGTCAGAGGCATCAAGTGAAGTATCCATGAGCAGAGCTGTTGGTGAAAACGTGGAGTTGTTTAATTACCCCAGGGTCAGATGCAGTCCCAGCTGCAGTGGAGGCCAGCAGCAGACCAGCGTGGGAGTGAAGAATCATGGATTACAGTGCTGTAATTAAGCACTGTGATCACCCTGGGACTTGGGCTGAGCACCGCACAGGATGAAGCGTGGCCTGGGCAAGGGCAGGCCTGGCGGTGGTTTTAAGGGTGACAGAGATGAGAAACCTACATTCAGCACGATAAGCTATTCTAAGAGGCAATTAGCTAGCAGATTAATTATCCTCACTATTAAAACCCATCTCATTTCTAATCTGTCTTTGCCCAGCTTCCATTTCCAGCACTGGACCTCATCTTATCTCCAAGTGCCAGGTAGAAGGGCTGGCGATGCCGAAGGACCGCTCCTGCCCCACGCTCCCCGTGCCACCAGGAGGTGTGGGGCCGTCCTGGCAGAGCACCATCACTGCTCTGCCTGCAGCGCCCAGGACGGCACGCAGCACCAGGTTTGCGCTGCTGTGCGTCACTGGCAATCCACAGCTCTTCTCTGAATCCTCACCAATTCCCTCTTGCTTTGCTTTTTAAAACACGGACTCCAGAGTAACAGTTGCCAAAGCTCGCAGTGTCTGGGCACCTTCCTCAGGCTGCCGTGTGTGGAAACAAGAAGCTGGTACATATTCCTGCTCTGTATTCGAGGCAGTGGCAAGGGGTGATATTCATATTGCAGGGTGGTGGTGGTGCACCGCCTATTCCATCAGTGACTGAGGAAGATGCTGAAAAGGAACTAATTAACAATCTTAGTGGGAGGATAACTTGCATCCAAGAGTTTTTAGTTTGCTAATGAGTTCACTGGACCTTTTGTTTTTCTTTATGACAAATCATGGCACCTTGGGGAACTTAAGATAACTGAGGGAAGAAATCTGATGTCTGACTGGTATTTAATGTGGTCACAGATATCCAAGAAAATAGAGAGCAGTTAGTTCAGCACAGACCCCAGCAGTCCCAGGTAAACAGCCAAGGGATGCTCGGGTGAATCAGTGAAAGCCAGAGCCCCAAATAACAGCATTCATTCTTTCCAAGTGAAAGAGTTACTTATAAACATTTGGGGCTTTTGTTCATTTGTTGATCTCTTTTTTTCTTTCTTTGTAAGCCTATAAGCACTCAATAGAGCTGAGTACATACAGATGACATGTCTGGACTCCTGCAGGTCACTTGACTTGGTTCTACACCGTACTGTATGGGAAATATGAGCTGTCTGCTATAGGCGATGCGATCAGTGTTCATGGAGTTGAGGAAGCTGGGTAACAGCACAGTAATTCCACGTAACTCTGACAGGAGAACTGGCTGCATTCCATTCACGTATCAGTGCTGTTATTAACAAGCAGGGAGAAAAGGAAAAGTAATTTTTGGTAGAAGTGTTGAGGTGGTTAAAAATGAAATGTTGGGATGGTGAGAGTGTCAGGTGGTGCTTGGCCAGAACAACAGGGTCTGCACTGCAGGAATCCTGAAGGATCCTTTCAGGTTCCTGAAAAACTGGCTTCAGTGTATCCAAGTTCCAGGGACAACAGGAGCAGGAAGAATGTAGGCTTCATTTTAATACAGAGACCAGACTGTGGACAGCAGTGAGCTCAAGAAATAGAAGGTCTGTCATGTGCCAGCTGAACAGAGGAGATCCTGGATGGGAGAGCATCACTGCCAACGCACCTCCTGGGCCCTGTGGCCCTGGTAAGGCCAAGCACAGCTGTGCACATCTCACAGCCACAGCGCTGGCAGTGACCCTACAGAACACCATGCAGCCACGTTTCGGATGCTGGGCTCAGGGCCAATCCTCTCAGCTCAAACGGACGCACCGGGACCGGGGAAGGTCTGTGCTTAAGGGTGGGTGACAGCCTTCACACAGGGAGTGACACAGCCACATGGAATTCCAGCCCATTAAGGAGGGAAGAGGCAGTGACCTGTAAGATCTCCAGTAGGTGATGCAGAACAGTCCACAAACGCACAGATTTTTTTGAAGGCAAGAGTTTAAAGGTATGCCATGAAACAAGGTGACAGCATGAGGACAAATGGAAGAGATGATGGGCACAGTGTGCAACTTAGTTGTGAGCTTCTTTCTAGAAGAGTATCGTAACGCTGACACTTATGTGGGTCCAAAAATTGGCAGGTTAAATGTATGGTGGAAAAAGATCCACACAGAGCTGTTAAATAGGATAATGTGGCACATAATGCTGCTTACCGAGGGACGGGACAGGTAAGGGTCAAGGAGACATCTGGGACTGTTCCCAGCCCATAGGGAAAGGTCACACTATCACCAAGGTTGGAAAAGACCTCTGAGATCATCCAGTCCAACTGTCCACCTACCACCACCATTTCCCCACCAAACCATATCGGTCTGTTCAGCATCTCGACGTTTCTTGAACAACTCCAGGCACAGCAGCTCCACCACCTCCCTGGGCAGCCTCTTCCTGCGCCTGACCACCCGTCCAGAGCAGAAACTGTTCCTAACATCCAACCTGAGCCTCCCCTGGCACAACTTGAGGCCGTTCCCTCTCACCATATCGTTGTTATGTGGGAGAAGAGGCCGACCCCGTCCTCACCACCACCTCCTTCCAGGCAGTTGTAGAGAGCCATAAGGTCTCCCCTGAGCCTCTCCAGGCTGCACAATCCCAGCTCCCTCAGCTGCTCCCTGTGAGATTTGTGCTCCTGACCTCCCGGCTGCACTGCCCTCCTGTGCACACACTGCACAGCTCCATGTCTTCCTGGCTGTGAGGGGCCCAGAACCAGACAGCGCCATACTTGAGTTACAGCATCACCAGAGCTGGTATCAGTGGAAACTGACCCTGAAGGAATAGGCAATGTTTTGAGAGAAGGGCAGAGTGATGCCCAGCAGCTGCAGCTGGGATGGAACTTCTGCTTGGAAATGGGACAGCTTTGTTCCTGGGCACAGCCATGGGCTCGCATTACTCTGCCAGTCACGAGGGTGCCTCCCTTTGCTCTGCCCAAAAGTAGAGACAAATGCTGAAGCTGAACAACTGCCTGTGCCCAGGAGGCATTCCTGGCACCTGGTGCAGCGGCAGTCAGCAGCTCCGTGTGACACTGAGATCAGATTTGAGCCAGTTTCAGTGCAGCTCCTGCATCACAGCAGGTGCCCAAAGAGGACAGGCAGCTCCTGGAATTGGGCTGTCCACATGTGCAGGGGCACTGTGTGCTCCTCTGGTTGCAGAAACAGAGATAGATATTCTGTAGGTTGACCTCTTTCAGTCTGCACTGCCCTCAGCACTGAGATGCAGGGCAGATCCAGCAGAAGTGGTATGGGGCTGGGCCTGATGTCTAACAGCTGTGAGAAATACTATGGACAAAGTAGAACAATTAAATTCAGGCCTCCCCTGGTCTCACAAAAATGATATTATCTTAGTAGCTCAGTACACATTACTGAACATACATTACTGCAGGACAGCACTGGAAAGTGTGGATAGTGATAGGACCAGGGGGAATGGTTTGAAACTGAGACAGGGGAGGTTTAGGTTGGATATTAGGAGGAAGTTTTTCCCCCAGAGGGTGGTGAGGCGCTGGAACAGGCTGCCCAAGGAGGCTGTGGATGCCCCATCCCTGCAGGCATTCAAGGCCAGGCTGGATGTGGCTCTGGGCAGCCTGGGCTGCTGGTTGGCGACCTGCACACAGCAGGGGTTGGAAGTGGATGAGTGTTGTGGTCTTTTTTGACTCAGCCAAAACTAAAAAAAAAAAAAAAAAAAAAAAAAAGACCCCACATGCACTGCCCTATAGGCTGTCTCCATACCAAAGATGTCCAGCCAGCTTAAGGCAACCCAAATCCACCCCCATCACCATGAGACAAGCCCTCTTATTTTGTCCTTCCCCAACCACAGATACATCATACCAAAAAGCAAACTATAAACCACTATAAAGAGTGGTTCGAATTGCAAGAATTAGGTTATGGGACTCGCTCCCATAAACAAATCATCCTGAGCAGTCATGTGAGCTCAGCCAGCAGGGAGGTGGTGACTTCATGCTGGGTTCCAGCTCTGGTTCAAGGCAGATGCACTCCTGAAGCATGCTACAAGCAGGGCTGTTATCCCATGTATTCCAAAGCTCTCACTCCCTTGCTCTCCTCCTGCTGTTTTGTAGGCAGCTGTGGGAAATCACCTCCTCTCCCTGCCCACTGATGCCATAAAGCAAGCTGTCAACCCTTTTTGGGTTACATCATCTCTACGCTGTGACCATATTACCTGCGCATGCAGACTGCTGCAGCCAGCTTCCTGGCACACGCTGTGAGCCTAAGAGCACACATCCATATTGTATCCCGTTAGGAACCGTGCTGTGTGTGATGTGTCCCTGGTGCAAATACACAAGGAATGGCACACCACAACTCACCGTGTCAGGCTCACTACTTCAGAGCAGCATGGACTGGCTGCGCAGACAGGCAGCAGAGCTACGCTCTGTGTCCAGGCAGAGGCAGAGGCCTGTCCCACTGCTCAGCTTTCAGCTCTGCATATCCCTGTGCCCTGGGACCAGTGTGGATATTCAGAGGCTTCAAAAGATCATTGCACAAAGAGGAGTGATCACAGTGCTGTCCTAGCACAGACTGCCAGACAGCAGCAGCCTAGACACTCCCTGAGGCAGTGGCAGGATGGAATTAACTTCCAGCAAATAGCTAAGAGCTGGTTAGCCTTGACAGCACTGACTTAAAATCACAGAAGCAGATGCTACCTTCACCTTTCTCACAGCGCAGCATGAGCTGTGCGTGGCCCTGCACTGGGCTGTCAGTGGCTGGGGGCACAGGGGCAGGCTGCTCTCTGCCCAGGGCACAGTTCCTGCTCGCCGCACAGCCCTGGAGCTGGCACAAGCACTGCCCTAAGCTGCAAGGCCTGGCAAACCCAGACACTGCACCTGCATGGGAAGAGTGCATTCAGGAAGCCTCAGCTCTGTGTCCAGCACCCTTCGTCCGTGGTCCTCAGAGCAGACGGACGCACAGGGCTGAGTACATGAGCTGCTGTGCACAGCTGTCACACTGAGCTGGGACATGCAGTCTGCATGAAGTTGTAGGCTGGCATTTATTAGTGATTATTTCAAAAAGCCTTGTGTACAGACTGTAAACATGACAAAAGATAAGATCCAACAGATGTCTGTGACAGCAGAGCAGCCTGGGTCTGGTTAGAATTTGTAGGTTTGGGATAGGAAGGCGGATGGTCTACAACAAAGCTGAGATCAGTCCAGCACGTTTCCCCGATCCACAAAATGCCCTGAGCCTCACCTCTTGCTCTTCGTGGTGAGTCTGGAGCTCGTCGTGGTTAGTGTGGTGTGCACGGAGCACTCCATAGCAGCACACAGGGATGGCAGGGACAGCACAGCAGAGGCACTGGCAGAGTGCAGCAAGAGGGAAGGGATCGGCGGGACGGACGTAAAATCTGCACAGGAAGACACAGTGGGATGTAGGGCCACGCACTCAGTAGAGAACGTCCTCGAAGCTGAGCAGCAGGAAGCGGCGCAGGGCGCTGGGCAGGTGCAGCTGGGAGAGCACTGGGAGCAGCCGGCCCTCCAGGAAGGCCCTGAGCGCACAGCGCGCCAGGTGCTGCAGGGAGCGGGGCCTCTGCTGCAGGGAGAACAGCGACTGGTAGAAACGGGGATACTTCTGCAGAGAGAGAACAGAGGGTCAGAGACGCACAGAATGGGAGCAGAGCTGAGCCAGGTGGTTCCCCTCTGCCCCGGCACCTGGGTGCCCCCCTCCCCTCCCGCTGCCCTGCAGGGCCCCCTGGCAGTTCCCAGACTCCCATCCCTCACCTGCACAACTTCTGCTGGCACCGCCGACACCCACTCCTCAGACACACGCACGTGGTCGTAGCAGTTCATCAGCGCCTCGATGGCACGCGGGCAGGCATTGCAGTACCGCAGCACCTGTGTGTGGGAGGCAGCCCATGGATGGACCCACGGTGCTGTGGGTCACCCCCTCACCTCTCAGAAAGCCGCCTCGGTGCTTCCACCCCCGTGCTGTGCGCCTGGCTGCTTTCCTCGCACGTCTGGTCAGAACAGGGGCCACGTGGGGCAGGGACTGACACCGTCCTGTGTGCAGCAGGACCAAAGCACAGCCCTTCCGATGGGAGCTCCGTGGGCTCCCAGGGCTGCGCTGTGCCGCTGGGGCTGCAGACATCCTCTGCCTGCGCGGTGTGTAATTGGAGTCCCAGCACCGTGCCCCTGTGACTCCAGAAAGGGATCATACGCATTTGGTGCGACACAGATCTCTGCTGTGCACCATGCCCAGGCTTTCAAGGCACCCAGAAGTGCGAGAGACACACCTGGGATGGTTTCTCTTACGCCAGCACAGACTTGGGAACGCACAGCACCCACACGTGGCTGTACCCAGCACAGCCCCACGGCTCCGGGCTCCCACTCCCTATGGCCCAGGCCAGCAGCCGCTGTCAGAGTCTATTCTGGCTGTAAGAGTGATCCTCATTATCTGGCGTTAATAGGAGATTAATTAGTGTTAATTGTTGATTTTCCTGTATTTTCCCAAAGGGGAGAGCAATCTGCTGATCTCCGGGCTGGGTAATTATTGCGCTGCTCAGGAATTAAGACAGGAACTTAACTCTTCATTTGCTGGTGTCTCACAGAGGAAGCATGAGCTGGAGGATAAACCCCAGGGAGGAGAACCAGCGCCTGAGAAGAAGGAAGGCAGCGCTTCCTGAGGCCAGCAGTTATGGAAACTGGGCAGGGATTGTCCATACAGCCGAGCAGATGGGTGCTGTGGAACCCTACAGGAGAACATGCCCCGGGGAGAAAGCTTCAGGAAATCCCTTAGCAATAGCAGCTTTTCCTTCTCCCCCAGGCTCTGGGAAGAAGCAGCCCGGCCAGCAAGCCCAGAGCACAGCCTGCAGTGTCAGGATCACCCTCGCTCCCGCTGCAGTCCCAATGTCACCGTCCACCCTCCCCGCTGCACTCCCAGCCCACGCACCTTGAGGAGGGAGCCAGGCCAGATGCGGATGGCCCCGTAGTTGAGCAGGGTCCGCACCACGAGCTCAGGATGGTGCTCCAGCTTGTAGGCAGCTGTCTGCAGGATGTTGTGCAGGGCTGTGTTGCCGCTGTAGTTCATGATGTTGACGTTTGCGCCCCGGGCCAGCAGTAGCTCTGCTATCTGAGCGCTGGCGTTCTTGCAGGCCAAGTGCAGTGGGTGCTGATGGTCCCTGTCAGCAGCGTTGACGTTGGCACCGCTCTCCACCAGCAGCTGGCAAACCTTGTAGTAGCGCTCCATGTCCTGGGGCGAGTGGGGCTGCGCGCAGGCAGCATTCAGCGGCGTCTGCCCCTCCTCGTTCCTTGCCTCCAGATCTGCTCCGTGTTGCAGCAGCAGCTGGATGTGACTGGGGAGGCCGTGCCGTGCTGCCACGTGCAGCGCTGTGTCCTCCTCCTCCTCTGTCCGGCTGTTCACATGGGCACCGTACTTCAGCAGCTGCTGAACGCACCTGTGAGGGCCGAGAAGACTCAGTGACAACCCCTCCTCTACAGCTCCTATCCTACCTGCAACCCCCACATCTTCTTCTCTGCACCACCCCATGGCTTTCACAACTCCCAAGAATCCCCAAATCCCAGCTCCTCATGCCTGGAACAGTGGATTTCAGCCAGGACAGCAGGGCAGCAGAGATTCTGTTGCCAGCCCACTTTCTTTCCACAGGTGCCTGATAAGCATCAGTACACCCGGGGTCTGCATCCACATCCATCGGAACACGCATGCCTCGAGTTCCACAGCATCACCCATCCGCTCTGCGCTGCCAGCAGGCAGCAAGGCAGCAGTACCACATTCAGCTGCATCAGCTCTGAGAACTGGAGCCTGCAGTCACCTGGCAGGCATGTGAGATGGCCCTGGCCCAGGAATATGCAGCCAAGCCACCCTGTGCATCAGCCAACTGGCTGCATCCACCAGCCCACCTGCAGGTGTATGGAAGGATCCCCTCCACACAAGGTGAGGCCCAAGCAGGGGAGATCCCTCTATTCCCCTTTGGCAGAACTCACTTGATGGAGTCTGGACTCTTGCAGAGATGCAGAGGCTTGTAGCCATCCTCAGAGACAGCCTCAGGGTCAGCGCCAAAGCTGAGCAGCAGGCGCACGCAGTCAGTGCTGGCCGCCACACAAGCCTCGTGCAGGGCAGTCTTACCCCCCGGTGCAAAGTTGACGGCAGCACCCCTGAGCAGCAGGAGCTGCAGGCAGTCTGCATAGCCCCGGCTGGCTGTGATGTGTAGTGGCGTGGTGAGCTCTTGCTCGTAGCTCAGAGACCACAGTCCTGCAGAGAAAGGGGAGTCAGGGAGCCACATCCAGCCCTGGTTCCGGAGCTGCCCTGGTCTAAGGGCACGAAATATAACCTCCTGAGACTGGGGTTTTCCCTCAAGGAGCTCTCTTCCTGCCAGTTACCAAAGTCTCTGCCTTGGGCCTGGCCTGCTGAGGGCACAGGACAGCCAGGATTTGGCGGAGGCTGCATGCTGTGCCTGCCCCAAGGAGCAGGAGAAGCCCCAGGGCCAAGGCCTTTCCCAGGGTTTGACTTCTCATCTGCAGCTCACCTGAGCAGCGCAAGACTTCTGCTGGCAGGAGCACAGCGGGTGAGGAGACTGTGGGCAAAGGCAGGGCTGAGAGCAACAGGGTGGCTGGGGAGAGCAGCATGCATGAGGCACCACCAAAGAAGGACCAGGCAGCAAAACAAATGGATGCTGGAGCAGGCTGTCACAAAGAAAAGCCCTGAGCATGGCACAGACAAGCAAGCCTCAGCAGAGATGGTCATCCAGGGCCTGTGGCAGAGGAGCAGCTGAAAGCTGCCAGTTCCTAAAGATGCTGACCCAGCTGGAACCACTGCTGAGCTGGTGCAGCCTGCAGGCACACAGCCTGTAGCTGTTAAAGAAAAACTCTCCTTCAATCATGCTCCCTGCTGCCTCTGGACTGAGCTGCAGGGCTGTGTCCCATCCCAGGCCACCCGATTGCTCAGGACTGCTTCCCTCCTACCTCTTCTTGCAGAGACAGCATGCGCTCAGCTGTTCTTATAGGCCTGGGTTCAAACAGAACCTTCCCAAGGACCCAGCACAGAGCTGTGGCAACTCCTCATCCATGACAGCTTGCACAGAGCACCAGCAGCCCTGCAGCCAGCTCAGCTGCACAGACAGCACAGGGGCATGGAAGCAGGCTATGGGAGCACAACCTGGAGCCTGAATTCCTGCGTCCAGAGGGGAAACCCAGAAGCTTTCCCACGGAGCCATACAAGGGCCGGGTACCCAGAGCACACCTCACACTCCCAACCACACACAGGGGCACCCCGCCACATCCCACGTACTCACTCCCATCCCCACCTCTCCACAGCCAAAGCAGAACCCATAGCACACAATTCTATGCCCTGCAGCAGAAGCGAAGCTCTGAGCGCACGCCCAGCAGCGCCATGCAGCAGCCCTCGTACTCAGCCCACGGAAATTGAAGCGGTAGTTCCTCCACTCCTCCAGGTCACTGGTGTCAAACACCGCGCTGGGACTGAGCTGGTGCTCAGGGTGGCTGAGGAGATCGGCCACAACCCCCCGCTCCCCTGCCAGCAGTGCCTGCCAGAAGGCCTGGGCTGGGCCCTCTGCCTTCCGTGTGCAGATGGGCTCCTGCCGCTCATCCCCTCTGCCCATGGGGCTGCCCATGATGCAGAACCCAGCCTGCAGACGGAGCCACGGCCGGACCAGCTGCCTCCACGGCCCGTGGCACAGCCCCTCCAGCGCGCCGTGCCCCACACCGCCTGTCTGGGAGCAGGGACATGTCACAGCCCTGCTTGGCTCGGGCTGGGAACGGCTCAGATCTCTCTGCTATTTTGGGAACCCTCGTGACCCTGCAGTAGTGCAACAGGGAAGGGAAGATTCTCCTTCCAGGCAGCAGCACTTCTGCATTGCTGCCGTACAGGGAACCCCTGCAGCACCGCAGTGCGTGGGGTAGAGGAGGAGGGTAGAGGCAGGACATCACCGACAGGACAAGAGGGAGCAGTGTCTGCTGTCACCCTGCTGCTGCCTGTGCTGCTGCAGCACCGCGTAGCTGACTGTGCACTCACAGCACGCAGCTGCCATGCTGCTGGCTCCGTCCAGCGCTGCGCTCACCCCTCTTTGCTGGTTTCAACCAAGTCAGTGGCACCAGGCAGGTTTTTAAACAAGCAACAGGAAAGTTATTTCTTATTGAAGCTCAAAGCCAAAGTAGCATTAGAAGTAGATCAAGGATGGGGAATGAAGCATTACAAGCCAAGTGAACACACAGAACGTGATTATCCTTTAGATCTCTTCCTACATTTCCTTGAAATTCAGCCTTGCTGAGAGCTCCTACAGTTGAAGTTCTGCTTTTTCCCATCCCCCTGACATCCCATCACCAGGCACTCCTCACTGCTGTCCTTTCACCCTGAGATAGCATTTTCCCTTCCACACTTGCTGCACAAGCACATCCTCCCCCTGCATTGGTTTCAGAAGAGCACTTTGCTCACAGTTCTTGCTACCATGATTTGTTCAGAGCACATTCTCACAAACACTCCAAACTTCTTGAAAGGTTTCATTTTGTGTCATGCCATTTAGATCATGCAGCCAAGGCAAACTGACACCAACAACAGCGACACGGGAGACCAGAGTAGAGTATAAAATGGGAAACCTTACCCTCCTAATAATGGAAATACATGACTGCACTCTATCCTGCCATCCTAAAGCATCCTTTGCCTGTGCAGACTTCACCACCAGCAGCCCAGGCACAACGCAATGCATGAAAGAGTAACGGGAGGGAAGCCCTCGGTGCACTGCCTCACCTCGTGGGACCCTCAATTTCCCCAAAGACGCAAACAAGCACCCAATAAGAGCCCGAGTTCCCCAAGTCTAAAAGCACCACAGGGGAGACAAAAGGTGTGTGAGTTGGTGTCACTGTGCACAGACACCTGAGGGCTGCTCAAATACCAGCAAGGAGGAACCTCAGTAATGCCAGGTCATGGGGCTCTAATTTTAGGTCATCGCTTGGCACGTTTCAGCACCCGTTTGTGCAGTTCATGGACACACAGCCGAAGACTCAGGTGTGTCTGATGCCTTATGCATTTTATCTTTGGTCGGGCCTGATGCACAGACCTGTTTGGTTGGGTTTGTCACAGTTTGAATCTTTGGTGATAACATCCACTTCTGGGTGACGCTGTTTTACAGAAGCTGCTCTGTTTTCTCCGGGACACAGATTTTATAAGCGAGCTGCTGAAGTGCCTGCCAGCCCAGCACAGGGCAGGAATTAAAGCGTGCAATTAATGGCTTTCTGATAAGTGGTCTCAGTTACGCAAAGGGAAATAACATCTGTATTTTTCTTCCTAAGCAGACTGTAGCAATACAAAACACGGTTATAAAAATCCTGGATCTCAGTAACCTTCACCATCCAAAAAGTGTCAGCACCTGCATCTGAAAGCTCACCCCTCCTGTTGCCTCTTGCTAGGATGGATCCCCCAAAGCCCAACTCAGTCAATACGGTCTGCAGCCTTGTGCCAGGATGCTTGAGAAGAGCAAAGCGGCCTTCACCTCAGCCTCTCCACCCCAGCACAGGCGTCACCAACAGCCTCCCCTCAGCGTTCCCACTCTGCACACCCACCAAATTTCTTGCTGGTCCAGCGCAGCTCCTCACTCCTGGTCTCAATGATGAGGTTGATGGCTGCGCTCCGGGTGAAGAACTTCTGAACCATCTCCAGGTCCCCGGTGAAGAGCGCGTTCTGCACCAGCAGATCCTGGCACTGCAGGGGCTCCCTGCGCCCGACCCAGGACTGCTGGGCAGCCACACTGCGCTCAGGGTGGAGGGAGTGGGGCCGAGCACGCCTCTGCTGATCCAGCTGCTCCTTGTCCTGCTGCAGCGAGCGCTGCGTGGCAGAGCTGAAGGGAAGGGAGCAGTCCATGACGGGCAGCACAGAGGACAACTCCAAACCTTGCGAACCTGCTGCAGCCAAGAGTTTCCTTCTCAGGCTGCCTCCTGCGCAGGCTGCTCCCAGTTTGCAGCTTCCCAGCTCTGGGCTGGGTTTGGGCACAGGCTTAACTCACCCCTGTATAAATAGTCCTGCTTGGCAGCTCCCCCGCGACCTCCCACCTTCCAGGAGTTTATTTTCAGCTTGTGGATGCAGTCACCGGCATAGACTGGGCTGCGTGCAGGACAGAGGCAGCCTGAGACTTCTCTCCGTGCTTTCTGGTTCACTCTACAGAATACCTGCCCTGCACTGTGCCCCCACCTTGGAAACAAGGGGACAGAGACAAGGGTGATGGTAGGGAGGGTGTTGTCAGAAATCATATGGGACAGAGTACTGAGGTATTCCCTTCAGATCAATCCATAAGGTCTAAAAAAGCCCTCCCAAGGCCCATGTGCTGCTCCGGGAACTGCAAGGAACACAAGGTAATGAGGAAGGGCAGTGAGGAAGCCTGCACCCTGATGAGCATAGGCTAAGCCCTGGGAGGGTCAGCTTAATTCCCTGGCACTGCAGCAGACAGACTCCTATGGGAACCTCGGGATGTTGGTAATGCCTTTGGCTCTCTGGGTAGGTTGTGTCCACCTGTGCTATGCACCTCCAGGCATAGAAGCCACATTTTGGATGCCCAAATGCAGCCACTGAGGCTTGTGGTGAGATAGAAAGTAGATCTTGTTAGTCATGATGTTGTGGTGGCTTGACATAGGTTCAGGACCTGTGAAATGTTTTCAGTCTCAGATTACTTCCCTTTAACTAAGCTGTTAATTGCTGTGCCCTGTCAACATAACCTTCCAGCTGGGCAGGCTGTCACTCACCAGCTGCTGCAGGAACATCAGCCATCCCCTGCACGGTGCTCTGTGCTCAGCCCAGTCCTATAACTGACCAGAGCCCGGGGTGCTGGGCAGCGCTGCAAGATGCCACTGGAGGCTCTGCACCTCTCAGCTGCACAGACTCACTGGCTTCCTGGACCACACAGTCCCACTGCAGAGCGAGGTGCTGCTAAAGCCACCACACTGGCCCTGCAGATGTCTCTCCTGGACTTCACCATCTATCCCACAAAACAAGCACATTGTGTCACTGGTTACACATGAGGCTGGATTTCATTTCTGTACTTTTCAGTGTCTGTTTCCAGAGCTGGGGAGCCCAAAAGAACCCACAATCTAGTTCCAGGTCCACTGGCTGCCTTCAGGAGCTGGGACAGGAGATCCCACTGCCACTGCACAGATCAGCAATGCTCACGAGCAGAGCACACACTGCTCTGGTATGACTTGTGTGGCTCTGGGGACACAGGCGTACTTATTCTCCAGGAGAACAGTGTGGTCTTATCTCCAACCCCACTGTCATAGAATCACAGAATGGCCCAGGTTGGAAGGGACCCCAAAGATCATCAAGTTCCAACCCGCCACCAACACAGGGCCACCAACCTCCCCATTTCACAGCAGCCCAGGCTGCCCAGGGCCCCATCCAACCTGGCCTTGAACACCTCCAGGGATGGACGGGGCATCACAGCCTCTCTGGGCAGCTGTTCCAGCCCCTCACCGCTCTCATAGAAAACAGCTTCCTCCTGACATCCAACTAAGCCTTCCCTCCTTGAGCTTGAAACCATTCCCCCTTGTCCTGTCACTGCCTACCCTTGTAAAAGGTTGTTTCCTTTCCTGTTTATAATCCCCTTTTAAATACTGGAAGGCTGCACTAAGGTCACTCCACAGCTTCTCTCCTCCATGCTGAACAAGCCCAGCTCCCTCAGCCTGTCTTTGCAGGGAGGTGCTGCAGCCTCTGAGCATCTCTGTGGCTCCTCTGGACCCCCTCCAACAGCTCCCTGTCTTTCTCATACTGGGGGCTCCAGACCTGGACACACTTTGGAATCCACCTGCAAGCTTAACAACACAAAAACCCCAGCAGAGCAGTGAGAGGAGGTCACACAGAGAACACATCAGCCAGGAAGATCTGCTAATCTTCAGAGGCAGCACAGGGCTTCCCTCACCCCCTCATCTGCTGCAGGAGTGGCTGAGGAACAAGAAGAGGGGGCACCCTGTAGTTCCTGCTACTGCTCCTCTTCCTTTGTCCCATTCGCACAGCGAGCTCAGAGCTGGATCAGGAACTGCCAGATCAGCTCAGCCACCAAGAATGCTGCTGTAAGGATTTCCATGTAAACTCTGGCTTTCCTCCCTCAAACTCACATCCAGAACCCTCCAGCCTCACCCAATTTCTCTGTGCTCACCACACCACAGAACCCTCATGTCTGTGTGCATATCTGTACAGACGTGCACAGCTCTCTCATTTTTCCTCAGTGCAGACACCCATTCCCCAAATCCTCTCCCCTCTCTGCAGACAGATGATGACTAGAACTGACCAGAGGTGCTGTCCCAGGGCAATAGGTAGAGACAATCACAACTATTTTAATAGGTACCCAATCACAACTATTTATTCTATTTTTCTTGTCCTTGCCCTATGTCCCCTTCACTTCTGCTGTCTCTTGCACTACTAGCAGACACCTTTTACCCAGTACTATCTTTATTTACCAGTCCCTAGCTCTTTTCCAGCCTGTCCCTCCAACTCCTGCTGCTGCAGCAACTGGAAGCAATGGGGTCATGCTGTGGCTTAGGCACTGCATCCAGACATAGACTTCCACCCTCAGAGCTATTCACAGCCAACAGCCACCCAGGAAACTGGTCCAGAGGGGCTGCTGGGCAGAGCTGAGGGCTCCAGACATCACATCCACATTCAGGAAGTTTCACAGACCTTGAGCTGAGATTGTGCACATTTCTCTGCACACTTTATAACAGCTGCTGCTATGGAGTAGTAGCAGTACTGTGGAGTCTTCTTACCTCCATCACTACAAAAACAAACAAAAGCACAAAACACAATCAGACTCTTCCTCCCCCTCCTAAAAAACTCACTGACTTCCCCTCCCATCAGAACGTTTCCTTTATGGTTATGTTAGCACAAAGTTTTTCCTTCA